ACCCACAATGTAATATGCTGTGATTTTTCTTTAAATTAACAATAACTGTTTCATCTAAATAAGGCTAACTGATTATTTCAGGGCATAATAATCAAACTTATTTATCCAGCGAGAACAAAGTTATTTTTGAAAAACATCAAACCGTAGGCCTACAGTTTAAACATTTTTTAGGCCTATACAAACATCAGTAACAATGAATTATGTTGTTCGACGTTGTGACATGTTGCTATTTAGACATTGTGATGACAATGTTATATTATACATCATTTGTGTCATTTAACAAACGTTTTACATGGTGACAACATAAACGCCAAATATAGATGATAATTCGAAAACTAAAAGAAAGTAATACAAATTGAGTTTAAATTAGGAAGATGATTTGGAATTGCAATAACTTTAAAATTATATGGAATTTGATTCATGTCACCATATAAAGTGTTGGCTAAGTAACTTTAAAAAATTGTTCCTTTGTAAAATCTTTTTTTTTTGTAATATTATGTTATCACTGTTGACATTAAAAAGTAAAGCTTACCTCCTAAGAAATGTGAAATGAATTGAGAATGGCCCGTATTGTATTTTTGGAAAAAATATATGGGATTCGAAATAGTAAAAAATTTGTCTACATAAAAAGTCATCATTTTGACACAAATACAATATACATAGTAAAATTCTGACTCCGATCCTTGCTCTCGAGTCTGAGAAACTGCAAAGCATATCAACTATATACTGTATTGGTACGTATGTTTTGTATTACCTTTTCTTTTTATCAATCGATGGGAAAATAAAGTACTTCAATGGATATGCGCATTTTACATATCATAAAGAAGAGATGGTTTCTGTCTGTTGAATTTACCTATAAAACTAAGATGTAAAATTCAGGTTTTTTAATCAATGGTGGGTACACGTTGAAAGCATTTAATTGTATTCGTGGATTTAAATTAGCTAAGGATTTTACTGACCATTCCTGCATAAAAATTTGTATATTTCATAGCGAGGGGTCCCATTGCAAATTTGCACATTTTAATAGGGTTCAACACCTTTTCTAAGGTAAAACTAACGGTGCAATACCCCTTTATTTTCAAAGATTATGTTTGTTTAAAGCAGTTATTAAAAGTGAATAAACTTACTAATTTACAATAATTTCCATTCATTGATTTTAGATCTACACCATGAAGACTAAAGTCACCTACAAGACCAAGTCGCAATTATTAAAAAGTAGCCTATTTAAAATCCATTTTTATAAAATAAAAAAAAATCTAAATGTGGTTTAACATTCAACTGAAGGATCAGCTTTTATATTGCAATTTAAATTCGAAAGTGAAAGTGTACGGCCTGGTAATTTGTTGATACATTAGTTTGGTAATAAGTTGCACTAGAAAAATATGCCTGAATCAATGGTGTAGTCAGTGAGGCGCGACTAATGGGATTTACTCACAGGGTCGACTCAAGGGGCGCACATGAAAAGAGCCCAAAAACTCAGGCAGACGCTTGAAAAGCGCCCGGACCTCCAAGGTCCCAACCAGGATGGTGCGAAAAGAGCCCGGTCTCTTTTTAGAACTTTCACAACGGGTCTTCAAAATATAAAAAACAAATAACACAGTTGAATTACATGAAATTATTTACAATATTAAAAGATATACTTTTAAAAGATACATTAATAAAATATATAAGATATTTACATTACTAAGATATAGTCTGTTTACCTAACCTAACCTAACCTAACCTAACCCAACCTAACCTAACCTAACCCAACCTAACCTAACCTAACTTAACCTAACCTAACCCAACCAAACACAACACTATTTACTAAAACACTACTATATATACACACACACAATTTATAGTCAGCTTCCTCCTCCTCAGGTACCTGTGGAGACCCGGGCTCTTTCCATGCTTAAGATTAGTGAACCTTTTTGGGGATTAAAATTTTGGGCTCTTTTCATGCGCTCCGGACTCAAGCATTGTCTTGTTCAACCCTCGCAAGTAGGGGATTAGTTTCTTGCCCGGGTCGGACCAAGGAGCGCAAGCACCTCTGCGCTCCTTGGTCCTACCCCGACGAATTCTTCGGGGGAAACGGACAGAGGAGCGCAAGTCGTAAAACTGTCAACCCCGCGGCCGAAGAATTCGTCGGGGTAGGACCAAGGAGCGCAGAGGTGCTTGCGCTCCTTGGTCCGACCCGGGCAAGAAACTAATCCCCTACTTGCGAGGGTTGAACAAGACAATGCTTGAGTCCGGAGCGCATGAAAAGAGCCCAAAATTTTAATCCCCAAAAAGGTTCACTAATCTTAAGCATGGAAAGAGCCCGGGTCTCCACAGGTACCTGAGGAGGAGGAAGCTGACTATAAATTGTGTGTGTGTATATATAGTAGTGTTTTAGTAAATAGTGTTGTGTTTGGTTGGGTTAGGTTAGGTTAAGTTAGGTTAGGTTAGGTTGGGTTAGGTTAGGTTAGGTTGGGTTAGGTTAGGTTAGGTTAGGTTAGGTAAACAGACTATATCTTAGTAATGTAAATATCTTATATATTTTATTAATGTATCTTTTAAAAGTATATCTTTTAATATTGTAAATAATTTCATGTAATTCAACTGTGTTATTTGTTTTTTATATTTTGAAGACCCGTTGTGAAAGTTCTAAAAAGAGACCGGGCTCTTTTCGCACCATCCTGGTTGGGACCTTGGAGGTCCGGGCGCTTTTCAAGCGTCTGCCTGAGTTTTTGGGCTCTTTTCATGTGCGCCCCTTGAGTCGACCCTGTGAGTAAATCCCATTAGTCGCGCCTCACTGACTACACCATTGATTCAGGCATATTTTTCTAGTGCAACTTATTACCAAACTAATGTATCAACAAATTACCAGGCCGTACACTTTCACTTTCGAATTTAAATTGCAATATAAAAGCTGATCCTTCAGTTGAATGTTAAACCACATTTAGATTTTTTTTTATTTTATAAAAATGGATTTTAAATAGGCTACTTTTTAATAATTGCGACTTGGTCTTGTAGGTGACTTTAGTCTTCATGGTGTAGATCTAAAATCAATGAATGGAAATTATTGTAAATTAGTAAGTTTATTCACTTTTAATAACTGCTTTAAACAAACATAATCTTTGAAAATAAAGGGGTATTGCACCGTTAGTTTTACCTTAGAAAAGGTGTTGAACCCTATTAAAATGTGCAAATTTGCAATGGGACCCCTCGCTATGAAATATACTAATTTTTATGCAGGAATGGTCAGTAAAATCCTTAGCTAATTTAAATCCACGAATACAATTAAATGCTTTCAACGTGTACCCACCATTGATTAAAAAACCTGAATTTTACATCTTAGTTTTATAGGTAAATTCAACAGACAGAAACCATCTCTTCTTTATGATATGTAAAATGCGCATATCCATTGAAGTACTTTATTTTCCCATCGATTGATAAAAAGAAAAGGTAATACAAAACATACGTACCAATACAGTATATAGTTGATATGCTTTGCAGTTTCTCAGACTCGAGAGCAAGGATCGGAGTCAGAATTTTACTATGTATATTGTATTTGTGTCAAAATGATGACTTTTTATGTAGACAAATTTTTTACTATTTCGAATCCCATATATTTTTTCCAAAAATACAATACGGGCCATTCTCAATTCATTTCACATTTCTTAGGAGGTAAGCTTTACTTTTTAATGTCAACAGTGATAACATAATATTACAAAAAAAAAAGATTTTACAAAGGAACAATTTTTTAAAGTTACTTAGCCAACACTTTATATGGTGACATGAATCAAATTCCATATAATTTTAAAGTTATTGCAATTCCAAATCATCTTCCTAATTTAAACTCAATTTGTATTACTTTCTTTTAGTTTTCGAATTATCATCTATATTTGGCGTTTATGTTGTCACCATGTAAAACGTTTGTTAAATGACACAAATGATGTATAATATAACATTGTCATCACAATGTCTAAATAGCAACATGTCACAACGTCGAACAACATAATTCATTGTTACTGATGTTTGTATAGGCCTAAAAAATGTTTAAACTGTAGGCCTACGGTTTGATGTTTTTCAAAAATAACTTTGTTCTCGCTGGATAAATAAGTTTGATTATTATGCCCTGAAATAATCAGTTAGCCTTATTTAGATGAAACAGTTATTGTTAATTTAAAGAAAAATCACAGCATATTACATTGTGGGTGCTGACTAATGGTGCACTCTGATTAGGATTTCTCGGCCCCAATGAAGTATTTTTACCCACGAATCTGTGACATTAGTTAGAAAATGTACCAATTGCACCGTTAACATTAACCGAGAATAGAACTTTCTTTAGGAATCTGCACCGGTAACGAATTTGTAAAATTGGTCACCTTATTAGATGTACAGCAAGAAATTAAAAAAAAACCCAAGTCACTGATTGTAAGTTACTCATTACTTATTATCTCTTATTTGATTCTAGACTCAAAAGTTTATTTTTTTATAATAGATAATTTACTTTGTAACTGGTAACACTACTTGAATAAAGACAAGTTTTAATTTTTGTAGTTTACTCTTTTTTTTTAATTCCTTTTAGAGTATGTGCCGGTTATTGTTATTTGAATTTAGCATTAAAATATAGTAATTATGTTTATATTCATTGGTAATCCGGAGGCTATAAAATCTACTTAAACGATGCTTAAACCATTACTTTGGAAATAGCCAAGTAAATTCTGATTAAACAAATTTGTGCTTGTCTAAACAGTTGGGAATAATTATAGGATCTTGAGGAGTAAATGTTTTCATTAGAAACACTTTTTTGTCGGCAATACAACAGTTAAAAAAGTAAACGAAACAAAATAATCGATTTATTTTCAGACATTTCTAACTACATACTTTCAGAAAAACCTAAGTAATTCTTATGCAAAAAGTATTTTTAAATTTAAACAAAGCCTATGTAAACAACACTACTTTTTGAAGTAAATTTTGCCCAGGCACATTGTCATTTGGCAAATATAACTTTCAGCAGTAGGCTCACCCACCTAATCTGGAAATGCACAACATAATATAATGTTGTTCTTAAGAATTAGTTTCAAGAATGGTATGCGTTGCTCCTAAATAGTACGAACGTCCGGTAATATTAAGTCATTCAATATCCTAACCTCTATCACGAGAGAAAATGTCAGGTGTTTCCACAGGACGGAGACGAAGGTTGAATCACGGGTCGATGATCAAAACAAATCACGTAGAATCAAGCAATTAATAGTCGTCATGCCTTCAAAGCTATTTCAAAATTGTATAAACTATACCTGCAAAACAAAATAATGTAAACATTTGATAGTTCTGAAACGCAGAGAGAAAGTTTAGCTGTCTCGAATAATCTAATATGATTTTAATTATAATAGAATAATGCAAATTTAGTTCCGTACTATTTAGTGATAAATATTTAATTTTTATTAAACTGCACTTAGAAAAATATGCAGTTTGTCTGCATTGAAAATGGGCTGATTAACGTAGGACAAAAACCAACTGTTTTTAAGATAACTACTTCGAATGCATAATACAGTATCTTGCATTGTCTCTGTTAACATATTTATAGTTTCAAAATTACTCCTTACATTTTCATTTTAAAGTAGTGTATTCAATGAGGCACGACTAATGGGATTTACTTGCAGGGTTGACCCAGCAATTGTCTCTTTTAATCCGTATAATTGGGGGATTAGTTCCTTGCATGGGTAGGACCGAGGCGCGCAAGGTGCCTCTGCGCTCCTTGGTCCTACCCCTACGGATTTTATTTATGACCTCCCATTAGAGCAGGTATTGTGCGCTCCTTGGTCCGCGAATCATTCTTCGGCCGCGGGGTTGACAGTTTTACGACTTGCGCTCCTCTGTCCGTTTCCCGTCCACAGCCAGCAAGACGTAGATAATTATCACCTCTATTAGTATTGACTTGTCCACAGCCAGCAAGACGTAGATAATTATCACCTCTATTAGTACTGACTTTTCCACAGCCATCCAGACGTAGATCATTAACACCTTTATTAGTATTGACTTGCCCACAGCCAGCAAAACGTAGATCATTAACACCTCTATTAGTATTGACTTGTCCACAGCCAGCAAGACTTAGATCACTAACACCTCTATTAGTATTGACCTGTCCACAGCCAGCAAAACGTAGATCATTAACACCTCTATTAGTATTGACCTGTCCACAGCCAGCAAGACGTAGATAATTATCACCTCTTTTAGTATTGTCTTTTCCTCGGCCAGCCAGAGGTAGATCATTTACTTCTTTGTTGGTGTTGACTTATACTTAGCCAGTCACAAGTAGATAATTTACTTCCCTGTTGGGAAGAGCCAGCAAATCAGAGGTAGATCATGACATCTCTATTGGTATTTTCTTATCCTCAGCTACTCAGAGGTAGATCATTCACTTCCCTGTAGTTATAGACTTTTCCTAATCTAACCAAGGGTAGATCGTTCATTCTCTACTGGCCTTGACGTCTCAGTTTGATTAATTCACGGTGTGAGGCAGAGGCCGAAGCCGGAACGGGATTCTTCTCTCTACATCGTCGCTCTAATTAGACCCGATAATCTAAGCTGCCAAGAGAAACCGAAAGACAGTAAATTTACAATTCAATTAATTATTAGGGAAATATTGCATACTTTTAATTTGATTACAATTTTGCAGTGTCCTTGATTGCTATAATCGATGAAAATTAAATTAAATTACTGTCAATGAGTAGTCTTTAAGATGTTTTATAATTCAGAGCTATACGAAGGTGTAATAGCTAACAGAGCTACATTACCTATTAAGATTTAAGATACTTTTACGTCTGTAATTTATAATTTTTAAAGGCTTACAAAATAGAAAATACGACTTTTCAAGAAGTCTCGGTAATTTTGGTTTACTTCCTATGTTTATATTATAACCGACTCAATTGGACGGGAGTTCAAGGATCGTATAAGAAAGTCAGCCAGTTCCACATTTGGTTATTTCCCATAAAGGGAACACTGCACCTTTAGACATAACATAACATTGAAAAATACTGTACATTTTCATTCCAATACCAGGTCTGTAGAGCGTCTAGACGTGGGCTGTAGTTTGTATTCGCCAGTCACGTTATGCGACGGGGGCCGGGTGTTCACATAATTTTGAATGGTAGAATTCAAGTGCAAGTGTGACTCGTGGGACTTGGCAACTAAGTTGTAACTCTAGACAGACCGGTTGTAAAGTGTTCTAAGCCATCCAATTACCGCGTCTGATTAATTGTATCGCATTTATTCGCTACACTAAATTTACATTCCTCACTCAATGCTTTCAAATATGTTCCTTAAATAATAGCGTGTTACAAACTAAGCACACGATTAAGTAAACTTTTAATGTAAGATCAGAAGAGCTAAATGCAGTAATAAGGTAGTATTTCCATATTTCATAGTCTAAATGTATTAATTTAAACGTAATAGACCTAAATCTAAAATGATGAAGATGCACATTGATATACATGAATAACGAGGAATGCTACGCCGGATGGATTAATGATTTTCTCCCACAATTACAGCTAAGTACGGCATCTGGCTCTTGAGATGTATTTTCCTACACTCATCCTTCACTCATATTTGGGTTAAAATACGCACATAGTGGCGTCCCCATCTTAAATAATTGATAATTGAAATTGATAATTTAATTGCTTATTTGAGAACTCCCTCAGACAACAGACCATCAATTTTGGGCTGAAGTATTAGAATATTGAAGAGTTGGTGTTTTGTGAATAGTTATGCTATGGTGTTTTGTGAGTAAATGAACTATTATTCCAATTCGGGTGTCTTCTGATTGCTCTTTCTAAATGGGTTCCTTAGTTGATATTGGGTAGTAAAGGTTGCTTCACCTCTCAACAAACTGATCAGCTGCGGTTTACTTCGTCTGTAGACGTTGTAAGCATCTAGAATTTTGAACCGATTTTTATGCCTTGACTTGGTCTGGTTGTCGGGATTGCCTAAGAAAGAACGTATCCATGTCTCAGGTGAAAAAGTAATATCTTAAAAGGGAAAAACTACCTCTCCGCATGGATCTCAATTTTAATCCCAATTGTAGTACCATTGACTGTGATGGTCTTATTTTGCCTTGATGAGTCAAATTACCAAACCATTTTCTTGGCTAATATTGCACAAAATATATTTATTTTGCCTAAATAGTGGGAATGGTGGAATAGTTGTGTAAATTTACATAATGATCCCGTGGATCTGTACATAACTTACTGTTCAGATTTTAAATATAATTTGTATTGAAATTAACTTTGTTAAAATAGGTTTGCCATAATTTCACAGGGTTAAAAGCCCCACGTTTTTCGTTTTAAATCTTACAAGTATTTATTCTCTCAACATTCTATAAATTATTTTATACTTTTTAGTGCGTTTAAAAACGTGGCATTTTTAAAAAGTATTTTTATTTATAAATTATTTAGTGTTTTCTACAAATGGCCTTACTCATAGCCGCATTAGGCTGTCCATAATAACGATTATAAATTCTAAAAAAACATGATTTCTATTTCTTCTCCTTGTTGGTGTTCTATGACTTTCCTATGTTACCATAGTTTGCAAATCGGCTCTTTCAATGATTAATTTCTGACAACATCTGAAAGAACTTTAAAGGGCCCCAGGGCCTCACTCTCTAATTATTTCCCTAAAAAGAAAGTTTCCTGCACAACTTCACTTTACGCTCTTTCCAACGACACCAAAAACATGTCAATCGGTTCAGTAGTTTCGGAGGAGTAATTGTCACAAAAAACCTTCTTGCGTATTAAATAAGTATATATATATATATATATACAGGGTGATCAACTCAAGGAGGCCACCATTGGGATATCGGAAACGGTAAGAATTAGAGAAAACTTTAAATGGGGGACATTCCTTTATTTTTTGTGGCAGTTAAAAATATGATTTTATTTTTTCGAAATTCAGCCGCCATTTTCCAAAATGGCGGCCAACTTTGAAATTTCTTATGGAAGACCCTATATTTTATCATGTTTTCGGATAGAACAGGCAATTTAAAAACTTTTTTATTCTTGACATTTTTTCGATAAACCCACTCGTTTAGGAGTTACAGCCTATGGAAAAATGACTTCCGGTGTACATTTTACATCATGTAGCTCCTAAACAAGTAGGTTTATAGCGAAAATGCGAAGAGTAAATTAGTCAAAGAAGTCTTAATATTGCATCCACATACCAAAAAGACCATAAAATTCGTTAAAACTATTAATTCTATTATTTCCAAAATGGCGGCCATTTTCCAAAATGGCGGCAAACTTGAAAAGTGGAAAAATGTGTATTTTATGGTCTTTTTGGTATGTGGATGCAATATTAAGACTTCTTTGACTAATTTACTCTTCGCATTTTCGCTATAAACCTACTTGTTTAGGAGCTACATGATGTAAAATGTACACCGGAAGTCATTTTTCCATAGGCTGTAACTCCTAAACGAGTGGGTTTATCGAAAAAATGTCAAGAATAAAAAAGTTTTTAAATTGCCTGTTCTATCCGAAAACATGATAAAATATAGGGTCTTCCATAAGAAATTTCAAAGTTGGCCGCCATTTTGGAAAATGGCGGCTGAATTTCGAAAAAATAAAATCATATTTTTAACTGCCACAAAAAATAAAGGAATGTCCCCCATTTAAAGTTTTCTCTAATTCTTACCGTTTCCGATATCCCAATGGTGGCCTCCTTGAGTTGATCACCCTGTATATAGATAGTGTGACTGTTACAGATTGAAATAGAGATTTGAGATGTATTTTCCTATATGGCCATGTGCGATTGTGTGAAGGGAGGGGACAGTGAGTGACATACAATGACGTCATGACTCTGTGTTGTATACCCAATGGGTATCCGGTAGCCGCACAAGTAGCCAAAGCGTTTAAGTTAAGGATGAACATATACATTAAATTATGTTTTGACCATGCAATTATTCTTACATATAATTTTGAAAGCTTATGCTGCGTGACAGTTTAATATTTTTCTCACACTTTGAAAAATTAAAGTTATCAACATTTCCTCCCAATTACAAAGCTTATGTTAAGCTAATTTTACTATGCTTCACCTACAAAAATATTGCCAACCCCTTTGATATCAATAGTAACCAGCAAAAGTCAGTCTGCAGCAGTTTTAGTATATGGAGCGAGAGGGTTTACTCGCCTATTGAAAATAATATATTGCACGTGGTTGAGGAATGGAGATGTCTCAATACTCATAATGGACTCCTTATATTGATGTATTTAACGGAGATAATCTCCTAAGAAATAAAACTTGAATTTGTTGATTATGTGCAAAATAATTTGTTGAATTTTGTAAATTGGTAATGTCAATTATAAAATGGATAACTTATTTTTAGTTTTTTCATATTAAATTATGTATGTAATGTGTGTGGTATATGTTACAGGGCATGACCGGGACGGGCGAGGTGCCGGTGTGGGTGTCAGGACAGCAGCTATGGGTACGCGGCGTGGACCGCAAGACTACAGTGTCTGATGTCATCACGGCGCTTCTGGGTCGTCCAGACGAGGGCTACGTGTTAGTGGAGCGATGGAGGAAGGTCGAGCGTCCTCTAAACAATGACACGAGGCTGCTGAAGCTGTGGGCGGCGTGGGGCGAGGAGCAGCGCGATGTCCGACTGTCGCTGCGAAGAGTGGCCGACGATGACAGCGGCAGAGGCAGCCCGGCCAGCGTCAGTAGGCGGAGGAAGCACTACCGCCAGAAACAGCACCTATCACAGACCGTGCATCCACGGAGGTTGGCACAAATTTCCAAGTCACAGAACATCGAGAGACTTTTGAAGTTAATCTTGGTACAGGGGGAGACGATCCAGAACCAACTGAAGAGGTTACACGACAGGGACGACCAGATAGACAACCTCGAGGAACAAAAACACAGGACGAGGACGAAGCTGCTGGGTTCCAACTACCTGCTGGAGACTTACCTGGGCGACGCTTGTGGAGAAGAGGAGGAGAAAGAGAATGACAGCGGCGTCGTAACCGAACAGCCCAGCAGCGAGAACACGAGCACGCCTACGGGAGAAGACACCAAAG